GATGGAAAACAGATGAGGAGCGTAAGGGGCGGCTGGTCTTGTTTACACAACAAGGCGAAGTGGGACGTTTTTAGGCATAGCCTGGGGCGTGTCGGCTGATTACCAAGCGTCACGTGGTCCAAATCCACCAACTTTTCAACAAGTGCGGTAGAAAGGGGTCACGTTATCCTCCGCCGGGCATAGCCACGCGACGAAAGAAGTGGCTGAAACCGTGTAGGATTAATCAATCAATCAATCATCATTGTATCCTGTCTTGACTGATGGATTTTATGGTTGTTCTCCTGTCCCCTACCCCTGGCTCTCCTCTCTTATCTAGCCAGCGTTTGCTTATGTCACGTGATACTTGGTATGTGCTTAGACTGACAAAAACCGAGTAGGAATTCAAGTCAAGTCAAGTCAAGCCAAAGTGGCGTCCTCGTCACTTGAGTTGGTACATAGACCCTTTTCAGTTCTGCGAACTTCGCTTCTCGTCCTGCGCACTTACGCCTCGCTTTCGCGTCGGCGCTGTCTTCAGCTCACTTCGTCTTGAGCTTGGGTTCATCTTCTCAGATCTGAGCACTTGTACCATCATTCTTACATCCTCGCCCCCCTCGATGTCGCCGCAGCCCCGCCAACGAGGTAAAGAAAAAACTTTTATGTTTAAATGAGTTCTCATTCGAACATGGCGCCATCACCTCAGCCCCCCGCCGCCTCTCCTACGCGACCTATTGTTCCGGCGAGGCGCCGTCGCCAGCCGGCGACATTGTCACGCGTTTGTTGCGCTCGCTGCGCGCAGTACCTCCTGAAGGGAGGAGACCCTTGTGATAAGACAGCGATTCGAAAGTGTTGGCGCTGTCAAGCTGCGCGCAAGCGTTGCTTGCCCGTAAGTCTCACCTTGGTACTGATGATCCAGCTGCTGACTAGAGGTAGATTCCCGCCTCTTGCATTCCGAGGGTTAACGCCCTCATTGAGGACGCCGAACGAGTGTCCTCTACCGACACCGAGGCGCAGGAAGCTCTTCGCTCTCGTCTCGCCGCCCTGGTCGCCGACATCCAGCAAACCAATCGTGTCGTCGAGCGCGCGTCCGGCGTGAGCACTCCCACGAGTCGCGCCTCCGATGCGACGATGTTGCTTATTCACGAGATGCGCCTCATGCGTCGGTCCTTCAATAGGTTTCTCGCTTTGTACTGCGAGGCTGTAAGTCTTCCTTTCTTCGCTACAGCTCGCCGTCGCTAATCCGTCGCAGAACAACATACCCCCGTTCGAGGACGATGGTGAGGTTGAGGGTATGGAGGGGGTCTCGCCCCTTTAACAAAATTGCATTCTGTCTTTGGCCCCTATGGCCGTTTATACCCCATAGCAGCATTACCAATAGCAATGAATTATTTTAATTTCATTTTACGCGTCTGCTCCTCTTGCGTAGCTCGCTTCCGCGTCGTCTGGAGTTTGCATTTGTCTGTGCTCTTTTTGCTTGAACTGTTGAAATAGTTCTTGTGCATTTTCGAGATTCTCTTGTGGTAGCCATTGATCATACTCTTCTGGCCAACCCTTCCACCTCACCTTGTACCAGAAGGCGCCTCGCCGTCGCTGTTAATCGAGGATTTCTTCCACTTCGTACTCATCTTCATCCTCCAGTTCTGGCGGTGGTAGGATATCCTGTTCGCCTTCGCGGCGATAGTAAGGCTCCATCACAGAGACGTGGAATACGTTATGTATCTTGGAGTTTGTTGGTAGATGTACTCTATAGGCTTGACTACCAACGGGTTAGTCCACTCGAAAAGGACCCATGAATCGCTGCGCCAGCTTCTTGCTTGCGCCTCGCGTGCGAAGATTCTTCGTGGAAATTAGCACCAAGTCATTTTTTTGGAATTGTTTGGGTTGGTGGTTCTCATTGTAATACTTCGCCTGCTTTTCAGGGGCGTCTCGTAGTTATCGTTGCAATGATTTGCGTAATTCAATTATACCCTGTATCCTTTCTTTCGCTGCTGGCACCCTCTCCTCATGGGCACTGTCCTCAGTGTCCAGGTCCATGTCGGGATCATACCCGTAGACTGCGTATAATGGTGACCACTTGAAATCTGCTCGATAGGAATTATTGTACGCAAATTCAGCGATACACAGGCGCTTCGCCCACTCTGTTTGGCACATCGCGCAGAATGCTCTCAGATATTCTTGTAGTGTCTGGCTTTGCCTTTCTGTTTGACCATCTGTTTGTGGGTGGAAGGCTGTGCTTAGCCTTCGCTTCACTTTCACGTAGTAGCAGAGTTCCGACCAAAATTCGGATGTGAACCTAGGATCTCTGTCAGACACAATGCCTCCTGGAAAGCCAAATCTTGCAAAAACTAGGTCTATAAGCAGGTCTGCAACCTCAGGGGCAGTAATCGACTTTTGGACGGCAAAATACAATGCCATTTTCGAGAACCTGCATACTACCACGAGTATCGCATCATAGGCGACACCGCCTCGCATCCTAATGGGTATGCCGCTCATGAAATCAAGAGCAATTTCTTTCCATGGTCTCTTTGGTATTGGAAGCGTTTGCATTACCCGGTAGGGCTTATGCCGCTTAACTTTTGTCTTCTGACACACGTCGCAGCTTCGCACGTACGTGCCGACGTCTTCACCCATACGCTGCCAGTAGTACTTGCGTCTAAGCAGCTCGGCCGTCTGCACTACTCCAAAATGGCCTGCGTAGGGATCATCATGATGTCTTCTCAATAGCTCATCTCGCAATGCGCGTACTGGAGGCACGAACAAGCGATCCGAGTGCATGATCAGATCATCCTTCAGCGCCCAGAGCTTCGTCGCTTCGCCCTTTTCTATTCGCCAGCGCAACTCTTGCGCTTCGGCGCTCTGGGCTTGTGCTTCAGCGACTAATCTTCTTGTTGAGTTGGTACTCATAGCATATGCATTTTCTTGAGCTAGCGCCTCTCTGGCGTCGCTCCGGAGCATCATTGGCTCCCTACCCGCATTTTGCAGGTCATCTCCCCCAGTACTAACTGGTAGAAGGAAACTCTGTCGATCTATTGTGCCGGCGGCTCGCCTTTGCGTAGCGCTTGTAGAACGTGCCAATAGGGCGCCCACGACAGTTCTCTCTGGCTCTATGGCCAATTTTGTAAACAATGTTGGTAACATCAGATTCGCGGCTTTCTCCGCGTCATCGTAGTCTGGTCTCCTCGACGGCGCATCGGCAGGGTTAAGTTTACCCGCACGGTGCGAAATCGTGAAGTCATATGCTGATAGAGCCATAGCCCATCTGGCTTGTCGGCCGTTCAGCTGCTTGACCCTGGCGAAGCCCGTGAGGTTTTGATGATCAGTGATCACCTCGATCGGGTGTGCGCTACCTTCAACGTAGTGTCGCCAGTGCCTAAATGCCGCCACGATTACGAGCAGCTCTTGATCGTGTGTCATGTAGTTTCGCTCAGCCGGGGTGAGGTGTCTACCTTGGCGGTGTGTCTACCTTGGTGGTGGATTACGTTAACTAACCCCTGTGTCATGAATCATGATTTACGTCCGTGACTTCTCGCATCTACGGCGAACTTTACCTTTTGCTTGAATCAATTATATAGCGCGAGGCTTTGTTGCGGCGGGAATCTCATATAACCATAAGGGAGTCTTCATCATCTATCACAATCCACAGGAGCCAACTGAGAATGTTTGCAAGCCTCGTAGACATCGTAAATCATCAGTTGAACCAACAGCATATTGAGGCAACTGCAGCTTGGCATGATGGTGGTGAGCATCCAGTAAAGACTCAAGGCGGCTCGATGACTCAAGAATTCTATGCTGAAAATATACTACCACAGCATATCAAGCATATCAAGTGGTTGGAGGCAAAATACAAGCATCAAATACTCTTTCAAGAAGATGGCGATCCATCGCATGGCCACAGGAACTCAAACAGTGCTCTTATGCGGCTGAAACGCGATTCACATGCCAAATGTTTGATTCATCCGGCACATTCACCTGATCTGAATCCTATTGAAACTATTTGGATGATTATACGCAAGCGATTCCGTGGCGGTAGATGGGAGACTAAGCCGAATTCAAGGAGGCGATTGAGCGTGAATGGTGCCGTATTACACTCTCACTGATCAGGTGACGAATCAGAGAGATGCCTCAGCGTTGTCTGAATATGTACAACACCAAAGGAGAGCGGTATAGAAACAGTACACGGGGATAGCATGCGTAATATACAAGATGAGACCTTCGATTTAGGGCGTTGTGGCCCGTGCGCGGTCAATTTCGACAGTCACCTGTCCATGCCTGCTGCGAAAAACGTCGTGACCATTCGCGTTCATCTGCTCCATCTGGTGGCTGGATCGACCAGGAAAACAAAAATTTGGAAAATTCAGCTCTTGCCCCGCCAGCTCTATTGGCTGTGTGAATGCTCATTGTGTGTTGAACCTTGCCTTTCGCCCAAATCCGTTGCTCCCAATTGCTTAACTGAGACTTTAGAACTGCGGACCTACGAGGTCACGGCTGCTTGCTAGGCTGGGACAGCACACTTTTGCATCAGGAATAAAAGACAAGGAGCGATAGCAGTAGAAAACATAACAGGCTAAGCACCGAGCTTCCTTTCCTTTGGACTTTCCATTGTCCTGCGGCTGTGTCCGCTCCGACGCTTCGGTCACGGCAGCATTTGCGCTGTTTTAGGCTTTTGAAGCACCGAGGTCACCGGACTAGGTGTTGAATATCCTTGAAGGTATGCCCTTACTTGCATCGGTCTGTGTAATTGGTTCTACCTTTGACAATTATTTAATGCTTGTTTATTAATGATCTAGTCAGTCTTCACCTAAGCTGTTCCTAGCGCGCTTTTACCTTAGACGCATGCCTTTGCAAGATGGAATCGTAAAACGCAGTTACCTGAGCATCCGCTGAGATTTATGCTGATGATTGGAAACAGAATTAAATGACCCTATTCTCAACATAATCTAAGCATATCTGGAAAATCCTCATCAAGGATTCTCAAATCATGGATCTTGACACGGAGGATATACAAATGACGGGCACCAATCCAGAGCGACCGCCACAGTCTGAATCGGCTCCTGTCAGCATACGAGCTACCGAGGTCGGTGCGCAAGCTCTAGCGATGGAGGACGCTGCACCCGTCACTACTACCAATGGCCAAGTGAGTAGTGGCGTTGATGACGCTTCAATCAATATTATGAATTTGCCAGACCCAACCCAGGTGTCACAGCTCAGAGCCACGCCGCAGTCACAGACATTCCAGGATACGGCATCCGAAGAAGATGGCACATCGGCTTCTCAGTCCTCGCTTCCCATAAAAGGAACTGGGATCAACAGTCACACTGTGCCTCGAAAGCTGCAAGGCGTTGTCATTTACTCGGAACCAGCTGCCCCAAATCTACCATATGCGTCACAAAGAACGGGTCTGGTCTATGACCCACGTATGCGCTTCCACACCGAGCTGGAAATTGATGAAGATGAGGAGATACATCCGGAGGATCCTCGTCGAATCTACGAGATTTACAACGACCTTGTTCAGGCTGGTCTCGTGGTCGTCGAGGGCCAGGAAGTAGATGAGCGCTTGAAACCATACAAGCTGATTCGAATTCCAGCACGGGAAGCTGAGGCCGGTGAGATCTGTCTCGTCCATAGTCAGCGGCACTATGAATGGATGACAACGCTGAAGTCGCTGCCGAAAGAACAGCTCATCCAAATGGGCAAGGCAGCTGACTCGCTGTATCTCCACCCCCTCAGCTTCCTCTGCGCTAAATTGTCGGCTGGCGGCGCGATTGAAGCATGTCGTGCTGTAGCCGAGGGTCGCGTCCGAAATGCCATGGCTGTAATCCGACCGCCGGGCCACCACGCTGAACATGACAAGCCAGGCGGTTTCTGCTTTTTCGACAATGTTGCGATTGCGGCACGTGTCTGCCAGCGGGACTTCGGTGATCGCTGTCGCAAGATCATGATTCTTGATTGGGACGTGCATCACGGCAACGGTGTGCAGATGGCATTTGAAGATGACCCGAACGTTCTATACATATCACTTCATGTGCACAACAACGGAAAATTCTATCCGTCAGGCGACTACGGTGACCACCTTCATGTCGGCACGGGCGCAGGGGAGGGACGCAATATCAACATACCGTGGCGAACGAATGGCATGACGGACGGTGATTACATATATGCTTTTCAACATATTGTCATGCCATGCGCTTATGAGTTCAACCCGGACTTGGTCATCATATCGGCTGGCTTCGATGCAGCTGAAGGTGATATGCTGGGTGGCTGTCACCTTTCGCCTGCGGGCTACGCGCACATGACGCACATGCTTATGTCCCTCGCAGGAGGCAAGGTGGTAGCCTGTCTCGAAGGAGGATATAACTTGCGTGCCATTGCTCGTTCAGCGCTCGCGGTCACACGTACACTGATGGGGGAGCCACCGGATAGACTTTCCGAGAGCATCGAAGCCTCGCAAGGCGCGGTCGACATCTGCAACCTGGTAATCCGCACTCATGCTGCATATTGGAAATGCCTGTATCCCAAGAATAAGGCCAAAAATCGGTTGCAGAACATGGGAGGTGAGCGGCTGCACGACATGCTGCGCCGTCTGCAGGCGCATGAATACGCTACGAACTACAAAATGGCTGAGCTATGGATTATGCGAGAGAAGCTGTCCAAGTCCTTTGAGCGACAGGTGCTAGCCACGTGAGTCATCATGTATTCCATATAGTTGCATTCGTCAAGCCCTGATATTCTTGAATTTAGGGACGGCTACTCTGATGCTAAGCCGCTGCTCGTCATCTTTCATGACCCGCCAGAGACTCTTGGCGAACAAAATACGCACAGCGGCGCCTTTGACGCGCATAATCTGATCGTAACCGATGTTGCAAAGCAGTACTTGGAATGGGCCATTTCTCAAAAATTCAGCGTAATCGATGTCAATGTGCCCAAATACGTGACAAATGAAGAGGCAAGCAAAGCGTGGAAAAAGAAGATCTGAATGAAACGCTTACGTGGACTCTAGAATAACGAGAATTTTGAGGACATTGATCCTTTGGAAACACGGTTGAAAGCAATGCGCGAATGCGCTATGTACCTATGGGAGAACCACATCGAGCCTTACGATGCAACAGATGTGTTTCTTATGGGTGTAGGAGACGCCGCGGCGGCAATTACCTACCTACTTTCGCATGCGGATGACATTCAGCAACGCATCAGTTGGGTGTTCAACTTCACGTGCGAGCACGACCTGCGTGCCGTCCAGCGAGCGGGCGACGATTATTTTGCTGACTGGTATTTCAAGCACAGTAGTTGCTTCGTCGCGCATGACCATCAGGCATGGAGCCCGGAGCGCACGAGGCGCGTCCGCCGCAAATACGGGAACCTCATCCGCAGCGGGTCCAACGACCTCAACGAGATTCTTCTCGAGGCTAAAGAGAACGTACAGGAGCGCATGATGGAGCTGACACGCAAATGGCGTGAGTACGAGTCGCGGAAGATGAGCGTGCCTCCGCCGCCCACGTCTAATGCCACATCTGCTAGCACAGCGTCGTCTCAACGGATATCAAACATACGGACGGGTCACTCGCTCGGTGATGAATTACGCGGAGCACTGCCATCTGCGAAGATCTCAGCTCCGTATCTCGAACTCGGAGGTGCACCACAATTTGGTCATCAGCCCGAGATGCTTGTTCGGAGCAGTCCAGGAGCAAGTCCTCGACGCGAAGCCATGAAAAGTCCAGTGAACAAGCTGCCTCCCATGGGTGAGTTGCTCTTCTGCTTGTAGGCTTGACGCATGTCTGCTGATCCGGTTCTCGACGTAGGCATGTTCTACTCTAGTCCTGAGCGAGGTGCCGGCTTGCGCAGCCCAATGACGAGTGGTAGTCCCTCTAGACGAATTTGATTTGCAAGATGGTACCCATTTGGCGGTCTCAATCAACGCAAAAAAACACAGTCGTCTCTTTTAGACACCTGGTTTATGTGTTCGTCAAGGCTGCTACTATTTGAGAAGCGTGGTTAATCTTATAAGAACAGGATTGAGATATGTGTCATAATAAATAGCAGTTGAAGGAGGATGTCAAGAGATTTCATGTGCTTCGCTTCATTTTCAAGGCGATTATGCTCTCTTCCCTTTCGCCAGCAGTCCACACGTACAGACTTCGTTTTTGCTTCATCTCGGCGCAAGGCCGCCTAGGTTCCTCATGGTGTTGGTTTCATCACACTTTACCCCTCTTCGTCTGTACACCTGCTGCTACGGCGTCAAAAGCTCCGTGACAGTGCCCTGGCGCCTATCAAGTCCAGCGCCACGCTGCAACTCAGATCTCATAAAAGCGCCCGCCTGTCTCTCGCAAAGTCTAGTGAATGCCGTCTCAGATCAGCCAAAGCCACGGCGTTGCGAAAGATGAGCCAGGGCGCGAGATTTCCCGCACGGCGTACAAAATGCTGCTAAGCTGGTGGCGTCGTCTCCGTCGCGGGCAGCTTCCCCCGCGTCCCAAGTGCGGGTAGGGCTTCCTGCATTCCATGTACGACGCGGGACAAGTACTTAGATCTAAAGTGTGAAGACGGTTGAGCCCGCGGCCCTGGTGCAAATTTTTCTCATCATGATACAGAGCTTGCCGAGCTGTCCATCCTCTTGAAAGGGGTCCCCTGGCCGAGACCCGAATGAGTCGGACAGCCCCCAGCAAAGGCCTAAAAATTGGTCGGCCACATGCCGATAGCAATGGACAGGGGATGATTGAGCAAGGTTAGAAAGAAGGCTAGGAAACATGGCTGTCGAATCCAAAAATCCAAAAAATTAGGCCCCGAGCGAGACTAGGTGGTGTATGCACAAAGTAGAGATGTATATCGATTATTAATGCATCATTTTCATACTCGTTATTTCTTTCTTTCTGTCTCTTTGCAATCTGCACAACAGCAATCACAAGCACTACATAGGCTCAGCTACCTAGTAGTCCAACTTTTATGAGCCCAGCGATGTCATTTAAGGAGACGAGCGCAGCTAGGGTGAAAATTCGTTACGAAGCTCGCTCTATCCTCTTATTCATACCCGCGGCTGCGATCAGCAAGAGCTAAACAGTTAAATTTGATAGTAGAAAACAAACAGGTCTGAATTTGTTAAATTCATTGCATATCACATTGTCTGGATAATTACACGCACAAAGCCTCTCGTCTCTTATCTTCGATCATTTTCTGACACGCTATATTACGCTTGCTCATCTCTCCCAGCTCCTCCCAGCTCCTCCTCTCCCCTCTACCTCTTCTCTCATCTCTCTCTCCCTTTCCCTGGCCAGGCTCCCTCTACTGCCACCCAGTCCTGTAACATTATTGCTGCTACTGCTTCCCCCAATATTACTATTAGCTCCCCACATTTCCAAACAGCTCCTCGCCCTTTCCCTCACGTCTAAGTTCTCGTCAAAAACGCAAGCATGAACCGCATCTTCAAATCCTCTGTTCCGCAACTCGACGGCGCGAGCCCATGAGTTATTAGCGTCGGCTTGGTCCTCCTTCCACATGATATTATGCACCATCCAGCAGCATGCCGTCCGCAACCGGGAATCTGGATGTGAAAACAACGGTAGCAGAAGATCAAGCAGCTTCACGTCAGGACCTCCTTGCGGTAGTAAACGTGGCGGAAAGGTAGACGGAAACAGCGCCGCTGGAGAACAACGTGGCGGAAGGTTTGTGTGTAGGTCTAATAGCATATGCCGATGCGCAGGGCGGCCGTTACCTACGTGAATGAGCGTGAACAGCGTCTTAAGCATGACTTCCCCATGCGGATAGAGGTGCTTTGGAAAAGAAGCTATTCTGCTCGCATGCGCACTTGCCTCCTTATCTCTCGAAGTATTTAAAGTCGCAGCTGGTATCGTAAGAGTTGGTCTCTTCCCTGCCGGAGCTGCAGACGATGCAGAGGTGAAAGAAGTGGTCTTTCCGGCCATGCCAGTAGGTCTGGGCTTAAGCTTTCCGGCAAGACATTCAAAAAGCCTTGGAGCACCCAGTGTATTTAGCAAATTGTCAATCATCTCTGGCTGCTTAGGCCCGGGCTCAGATATCAGATTCCGCACGAGATCTACTGCCTGAGCTTGAATTCGTATGTCATCCCTTCGTGCTCTCGCGACAGGGCTTTCTTCTTCGTGTCGAATTGCGCGGAGGCGTGCACGTTCTTGGAACGGTACTAGGTTTGTGTGGCCAGGCTCACAGTTAGCCATTTCGTCATCATCAGACGACGCCGAGGCGTCATAGTCTCTGTCACTGCTCCTTTTTATTTGATCCGAATCTCCATCATCATCGACTTCCATTAAAGGTTCATCTGTAGCATTGAGGAGATCAACATGCTCCCCTGCCGCATTGGCCGTTGCCATGTGCTGTGATTGCTTTCGTAACGAAAAAGACGGGCCGTACGGCTCGCCGTTCATAGTGTCAATCAGCCAAGTGCTTCCCAACTCCTCTACAATGTTCGATTTAATGTCATTCGTCGTCGAGGCGCATAGATGTTTCAAAGCCCACAGTGCGCTATGTCGAAGTTCTGGGTCCGATGAGTGTGCATGCATGCATAAGATCTTGATCACACCTTGTGAGAGAAGATCCTGTTCATTGCATTAGCAATAAGAAAGTAATTCGACTTTACAATTAACGCTCAAACACACCTCCCTCATAGGGCTAAACTGGAGTAGCAAGTTTGTCACCGCATCCGTACCCGCAGTTCTAACCCGTGGATCCCGATTTGCCAGCAACCCAAACACCGGTCGCGCGATTCCAGCGTCCAGTAGCTTCGTTCGTAGAACGCCCACAGACCTGCTGAGCGCTTGTGTGAGCTTGCACGCAGCGACAAGGACGAACCAAGGATTACCCTCCTTGCTACTCTCCGCCAAGCTTCCTCCTTGGCTTCCTGCTGTGACAGCGGTTTGTGTCAAAGAATTACAAGATGAGGACAGGAGTGGACCGTCAGGATACGGAACGAGACTGTCAACCAGACAACTAATGGCATTGATGTCGATAATGGAACGACGATAGCTGTCCTCCTTCTGTGCAATCGCTGCAAGTGCCAGCAGAGCAGCTGCGCGCGTCCTCAGGCGATGTATATTTTCCGCAGCCATCGCAGGAGCTCCAAGTGAGCAGGCTGGATCGGATTGATCGTCTCTTTTGGAGGAGTCACGTGGATCCACGTCTGTCGGAACGGAAGTCCACATCGTTTTCCTTACGGTTACGACGGTATCAAAAGAGCGTTTCAGCATCTGACCAAGTACGTTTACTGCATTTGCATCGTATGCTGCCTTTTGCAGCGCAGGCACATCCTTGATCAGAATTGCAAGCGCTACTGGAGCTCGTTCTCGAATCGTTCGCAATATTGACACCTCCTCCCCCGTAGTGGATTGAAATAGATTCATAGAGTCAGTTCCTTCAATGATGCGGATGAGCAAGGGGACAACCAAGAAAGCTAGCGTGCGATCGCGGTTTCGAGATGACTCCGTCCACGTCTCCATGATCTTCCGATCCAGCGCCGACACAAGTTTTGCAAGGAACTCGAGTGCAGCCAGTCGCTCTAGCCCATTGCTATGGCGCGCGATATGAATAAGCCATGCAATCAAAGGGCTTCCGAACTCATCTGCAGATATAGTCCTATTTGAGATGGTGGTGCTGCCCTCATTAAAGTAAGGTATGCGGCTGGGCATGTCACCGCTTTGAGAGAATGAACGCAGGGGAGGAAAGGCCTTGGCGAACATGTGCTCGTGCTTTGACTGAACAGCCTGAAGTTTTGGCAGGAAAGCATCGATGTGACTAGAATAGCTCGGTGCGTGGTATGAGGACGCGGGTATGTAGTCTCCTGCTCTGCTGTGTTGTGCAGAAGTGGATGTGATGGGGAAAACTTCGAGAAGGTGCCGTGAATAGAGGATACGCATGCTTCGGTAAGCAGACTCATGTGAGAAGCAGGCCAGCGCTTCGAGAATATAGACCAGGCTCGTACGCGGGGGCGCGGGTAGCATACTGGAAGCCAAGCTTGTATCCATGGATGGAGGCGCGGCACCAAGAAGGTATGCCAAGGTAGCCAGTCTGCAGCAAATGTAGTCAAGCACACCGACTTTCACCAGCGCAGCTTGGTGAAGCCCCTTCTCGCTTTCACGCAGACATACGCAAATCAGTCTCAAGACAAGCGTAATTTGATCATCCACATCTTTTGAAGATATTTTCTGTGCAAGAATGCTCGCCAGTGCATTCACGGCTGGCTTCGAAAACAATAGATCAGAGAGCTGCGGAAGGCCGGAAGGGTTGCGAGACGAAGAGATGATGTCCGTTGCCAGCGCCTCCGCAACAGCAACCAACGCTCTTAAGGACTCGATGATCAGCCGCGAAGGTGTCGTAGCCGGGTTCAAGAGGCCCAGCAATGAAGTCATGGTGCCCGACGCGATTAGCGGCTGTACAGTTGTACTACCGCCATGAGCAAGACAGCTCACAATCTGCAATGATTGTAGCCGTAGCTCATCTTCATCTGTCCATCGATCCTCAAGCTTGTGTTCGGTCTCTTGTTGAGGTTCCAATTGAACGGAGGCTCCGGCGGTGAGATTTCGGTGCAGAAGTCTAGTGATGCCATGACGGATGACAAACTCTTTCCTCTGCTCGTGGCCGATGAGTTGGTGCTTCAATGTTTTAAGGGCGGCGATGTGCGATCGGGTGGACTGAGGATTGGAGATTTCGGCGACAAAGGCTGGCAGCGGTTCCCGTGCCATGATCTGCAGAGAGTGTCTGTCTGCCACCAGACTTCCAGGTCAGAGGATGCAGGCGCGGAGAGGTCGAGCAGACGCGCAAAGGCAAAAGGAAGAGATGGGAAACAACAGACTGGTGAATGAAAATGCGGCAAGATATCGCAGAGCCGTAAGACGAGATCTGCAGGATTCACTTGTTAAAAAAAACGTTGTGGCAAGATGGTAGCTCGCTTGGACCAGATAGAGGAGGGAACCCAACGAGAAAGTGCGGATAGTATAAGAGAAGCTACTATTACTACAAGAACGGACAAAGACAGAAAGACCTGTATTACAACAGCATAGAGACTTGTAATACAAATGTATTGAGGAGATGAGAGGAAGAAAGGTTGGGAGTGGATGTGATTGAGAAATGATCCTGCAGTTTGGGCGAAGGATGGAACATTAGATGAATGGCCGGGCCAGTTTTCCTTTAGGTTAACTTATTGCATCACCGGGAACAGAAAATTTGACGTGGCCCAAGTGGAGCTGGAGCGGCGACGGAAGTCCGGAGCCAAGCAATCCGGGGAACCCCAATCAGGAACGCCAAGCGTTTTCCTGTGATGAGCCACAATCGACGCAATTATAGCAGCATAGTCAAGTCAGATGTATTGGAAGCTTCCAGATCTGATTGCCTGTGCAGATGGCTACATGGATGTCTACGCGTCGCCCCGCCGTCCTCTTCTTCATCAAGTTTAAACACATGATGTCAAGTTCCGTTCTAAGAAAGCCCCGTTTATAAGCTGATCAGAAAACGGGGCAAATAAAAAAGCGACGATGCCCAGCGTCTGCTTGTCCCGCAAAGCTTGTCGGAACAAAACAGAAGCCAGACATCGCCGCTTTCTCCTCCAGTGTCTACCACAATACATTTGTATCGGATCCAAGACAAAAACCATCTCCCAGCCAGGGATCAGAAAAAGGGCAGGAAGACAAACAGAGGCCTCG